AAGTAATTTAAATAAGAGTTCACAATCCAAGTGAAACAAAGCTGTACTGAAACTTTCTGCAAACTAGGAAGGAAACCACACGCTTTCAAAAAGACAGATACAACTGACAGTGTCCTGATGACACCCTGTGAGGTCTTACTTCTGTCTGAGCTTCACCTCACTGAAGGTCATAGAGGAGCCATACAGGGTCAACTTCCTCTGCTTCAACATTCCCACAGCAGCACACTGCTCAGATGACGGCTCTTCTATAAAAGCAGGTGGAACAGAAAAAGGTCACAACAAATCCTAAACAATAACTATGCTTTACAGCACTTGTCATGAGTTTCGGTGTGTGTGGCAGCATCTTACTGTGGTCAGATATCTTGAGGGTGTACTGGCCTTCAGCTCTCTCTCCCCAGCAGCGCACAGTGGAGAAAGTCCAGTCCTGGTAGCCTGCAGGGTCACTGTTGCACATAAGTGCATACACAGAAACACCAGTTTAACATCTGAGGTATATGTGTTGTAAGCGTGAATATTCTTAGACACAGTATGATCACTGATGCTTCTTTTAACCAATTTCTTTGCTAATGTTCTAATTTGCACATTAAAACACTTTTTCCACTCAGCTCTGTGCATAACACTAATTTATGTTTTACTGCATACAAAGTGATACCAGTATATAGAGTGTGTTTGTGTGTGTGTTATATACTTGTCGATGACACGGCGTGCCCCGATGATTGATGTCATACCACTGGGGCAAACCAAAACAATCTCCAAGTTGCCACGGCAAGGGTGGGTTATCGTCACGGTAACAGCTATGTGCTCCAGTGTCTCCATTCCAGACTGTCTCAGGTCCTCAGCAGAGACTGAGGGAGAGGAGAGAGCGGCTTAGTCTGTGTGTGGGTGTGTTTCCATTCCCTGGACTGATAAGCACAGTCATGTGCCTGTAAATGGGAAAAATCTGACCCATCATTAAAGCAACTTATGATGCTTTTACCCACACTATGGCTATGGCTCTTGGGATGGCAGTGATGGTCATCACCTTACCAATTTCTCCTTTTTCTTTCCATTAAACCATTATCACTCTTCCTGACCATCTCATGTCCTCCCACTGTGGGCTTTGACTGCTAATGACATGTGGTGCTCAGTGACCATGTAGGGCTGCGCATATCGAGGAGTGTAAACAGAGGCAGAGGTGTGGAAGGACAGATAGAGACTCGGGGTACAGATGTAAAACGAGAGAGGGGAGAGTTGGTAAGGAGATGGAGACAAGTGAGGGAGAGAAGGGCGAGCACATCTGAGAAAAGGAAGGATGGATGGAGAAACTGACTGTAGTGAGGGAGGAAATAAAAGACAGAGAGAGGTGCAAAGACAGACTTGGTGGAGATGCATTTCTAAGACGGATGTGATGCAGAAACTTCATGTGCATGTCAAAATTCTTGATTCTTGTTAGTTGGCTGAGGTTCATTCAACTTCTGATTAAAAGTCCTGGATTCAATATGATTTCCATGTTTTGCACTTTCATTTGCAAGTATAACCTGAGATTTTAAAGAAAGACAATGTACACTGGATAAATTCTCTCCCCTCCAGTGGATCTGTATTGGTAATATGCTGTACCCCAAAGCATTGCCCAGGCAACAGAATAATATGTAACCCTATCACCAGATTAAATGGCTGAGGTATTTTCATGACATTGTACTACATGAGCTATCCATTGCCTGAAAAAATAAGCCAGAATCCTCAACTTTGGGGATGTGGTCACATGCATGGATGTTCCATGAACAAAGGAACATTATACCTTCATTTATTTTTGTCAAACAGTTCATGAGAGCCCTCAGGCGGTTGGTGGTTGGGGTGACTACTAAAAGGAAAGCTGCCATGAGAAAAGAGGAAGCATGCTGGGGGCAAGTATTTATAGGCATGCAAAACATTTGAATTTGTAGCCGTCATTTTGACCTGCAATAGTAGAGCATAACAGATCATAGTAGAGCACAGTGGAGCAGGGAGAGAGAGTGCTGGGTGGAGGAGAATAGATTAAGATCTGTACACAAAATCTAAGGAAGGTCACAAAAGTCTTTTTGCAAAATGTATTTAAGTGGGGTGCTAAAATAAATTCTATTTGATCAACAACACTAAGCATGCTTTGCTAACAAGAAAAGGGACATTCTATTGCTTGCTGTAGCTGTTTATTTTTTCCTATCACTTTTTTCACTGTTAGCCCTTTTTTTTTTAGAGGGGGGTCACTATGAAGTCAGTCAGTCACTGCGTGCATGTACATAAACACACAAACACACATTTGTCATAACCGAGTTCACATGGGAAGCCAGCACTTTGAAAATCTCAAGGGGCAGGGCATTAGCTGATCACGCAGCCAAAACACACAGAACTATGAAAACACACACAGCTAAATAGACTGACAGACAGTCCTGAACACTGTTGGTGATTAAATAGCCTGTCGGGGATGTGACTGACTGATTTAAAGAAGTTTAAATGGAAATAATATGTATGATCGTAGTTTGATTTGATTGAATTGCCTTTTGAATTTGAGCCCAGAGACATACGTATGTAAGTGGCAGCAGCTCTTTCCTTGTCTCTACAAAACTCCTGTTGCATGAGACTACACACACAAGGCGATTTAAAAAAAAAAAAAGAAAAAAAAAAAAGGTAGATACAGATCAGTGGGGGAAGAGGAAAAGAGATGAGGGAGAAGGAAATGTCTGTTTGAATGAGGTCATCGTGAGAATATGTGGAAAAACTGTGTGTGAGGGAGATGGAAAACGATCACATACACAGAAGGTAGAGTATAAGAGAATCACAGTGCTTAGAAGTGAAAAACAAACATTAAGTACTGAGAGGAGTTGTAAAATGCAGACAGACAAAGGGGAAAATGAAGGAAAAAAGAAAAAAAAATTTCACCCTGTATTTCACTGTGGACACAGGAACTCGCCAATGAGAAAACTTTACCTAATATGGACATGCAGACTGACTGAGGAGCAGGGAAGCAGGGAGGGAGGGAGTCAGCTACTGTATGTGTTGCAACATGTAAACTCAACAAGCAGCTATTGAATACAGACAAGCAGACAGACTTGCCTTTCCAGCTATGGATCAGCTCATCCGGATAAGTCAGGATGGACACTTCCTCTTTAATCACTGAGCTCTGATAGGACACAAGGTATGGCACCGACTCCCACACCTGAGTGAGGCAACAGAGAAAACTTAAGGCTCTGGTAGTGCCTTGTGGGCGAAATGATGAAATTATTTTTGTTAATTCCTATACTAAAATATGCAACAAAAGTAATCTATATATTCATTCCTAGTGAAAAGAGCCAGTAGTTTGAACCTCTAGTTGATTTGATTTATTCTTTCAAGCATGTAAAAACAGTTGATATGACCACACACATAATTTCACACATATCCAACAAATGCTAATCCAATATCAATTTACTTATACCTAGTACATGCTTGAATGGAGTAGGAAGAAGTCAGACTTCCCATGACATCATCTTACCATCATTGGTTTGCAAGCAGTA